ACAGAAAGTAAAAACTTTGATTATTGATCATTTTATAGATAACCTTGCCAAGAAAACAAACAAGACATAAATGACTATTTCAATACACACTAATGTTGAAAAATGGAAACAAATTTATTCCGCATAATAATTTATCACGCAGATGAATGTTAGTTTTATTTGTGCCACACTTTTTTTTTTTTTTTTTTTTTTGTGGTACGGGGGATTGAACTCAGGACCCTGCACTTGCCAGGCAGGCGCTTATTCTACTGAGCTGTCTCCGCAGTCTGAATGTTAGTTTTAGTTTTGAGGCCTAACATCATAGTTTATGTTTGTATACTCATGTTAAAAAATATGACAATCTGTATTTACTCAAGTTTAACTGAAGAATATTTTTATTAATTTTAATTTTTAAGTTTGTTTTCACATGGAACAACAGATAGACTTTTGAAATGTATGCTTATGGCCATATACTCGTGTGTCTGAGCTTAACTGCATAGTTAGGCTTTGAAACTAGCTCCCCTGTGGGGTGCAGTGCCCAGGAAAGATAAGAGACGGGAAGTGCCCACTCCAAGTGCACACACCCCAGCTGGTTAGCAAAGAACCGCACAAGATTTCTGGGTGGGGAAGACTTTGTCCTTGACTCTAGACTTGCGGGCACATGATGATAATGAAACGCAGATGAAGGCCAATCTGGAAAGAGAATGCAAGTGTAGTGACGAATGGAAGTTTCCTTTCTGCCCTCGGAACATTTGCTGGAATAAACTGACAAAGATAAATGGAGAAAAGGCATGCAGATCCATCGACGTGCAGAAGGACAGACGGGACCCATTCCACAGCCCTTCTTGTTTTACAGAAAGAAAGATGGGAAAAGTAATCCCTTCTGAGAAGTGGTAGGTGATTTTTAGGGCAACTCAGTGGGCCTGGAGAACAGTCCCGTATTGAGTGGCCTGGGACAGAGGCTTCTTGGCCTGAAGAATAGATCAGCTTTTCTTGCTTTCTTTTTTTGGGTACTGGGGATTGAACTCAGGATCTTGCGCTTGCCAGGCAAGTGCTTAACTCACTGAGCTATCTCCCTGGGCAGAGATAATGTTTAAAGAGGCTTTCCTTTGGAATGGAGAAATGGAAGACAAAGGTATGTGGAAGATGTCTCCCCAGGGCTCTTGACAGGCTCCAACCTTTCTTCTTGGGATCGGCGTTTAGGCAATGAAAGCTCAGAGGAAGAGCTGGAGGGGACAGTCTCTTCTGTGAGGTTCAGACAAGGAAATTTGCAGAAAGCCTCTCTGAGCTGGCAGGCAGAGAAACAGGGAGGATCAGAGAGAGTTGATTCTGAGGTGCCCGTCTTTGGGACAACAATTTCTAGTCCTGCCCAAGTCATCCATGAGCACAGAGCCTATCAGCAGAAGTCCTGAAGGAGTCTGCAGGGCTGGGTGTCCTGTGGAGCATGTCTGCGCTCCCAGAACCGTGAGCCCCAGGGTCCTGGAGAAGAACCTCGACTTCTGTTCTCTCTGAGCAGCAGGGTAGGCAGTGCCAGAGTGTGGGCCACACCCTCAGCGGCTTCACATGTGAACTCAAAACAGCGGCTGTTTATTAATATTAGGCCAACTGGTGACTGATTGCTTATGAGGAACTAGGCATGGTGTTAAATTAATGATCAACATTTTCTCTATTTCCACAGCAATAATTTTGTTACTCCAATTTTGCAGATGAGAAAATTGAAGCCTAGAGAAAGAAATAACTTGCCCCTGCGCACCCAGCTCTCTCTCAGTTGATGATGGGCCTTGCTGGCTGGTGAGTTGTCAGCGAGGCCAGCGCTGCTGGAAAGGGAAAGGTGAAAAGAAGACGCTGACCAGCTCAGAGCAGGAGAAGCGGTGACTGCTGCAGCCCTGCCGCCCGCCCTCCCTCCTCACCTGCTGGGCAGGGCTCCTCTTCCCTGTAAAGGTCTGGCTTTCAGCTCTAAGTCTGCATTTTTAATAACCCACGCTGCTAGGCAGGGCCGGGGAGATGGCTCAGTGGAATAAATGCTTCCCTGGCAAGCGCAAGGGCCTGAGTTCAATCCCCGGTTCTGCCAAAAAAAAAAAAAAAAAGTTTGGGTTTTATAAAAAAAAAAATAAATAACCCACGCTGCTGCAACCATGGTAGTTAGCTTTCACTGCTTGTCTGAAATGTCATCAAAGGCTCCCTTAGAGCCAAAGTATGAAGGTCTCACAGTGACAGCACGTTGACTCTGGCAAACCCATGACTCCCAGGGAAGAGCCGGGCATCTCTTCCAGGCTGCAAAGTCCTGTTGTCTCTGGCCCTTTCCCAGGCTGCCTGCGAGTGCTGCGAAGGTGCCTGGTCTCAGGCCTCGGCCCTGGGACACAGCGTGCCGTCCGCGAGTCACAACCCTCGTGTGCTGACGGTTTCTCCGTTGCTACTCTCTCCACGCACGGCTATGACAGCTGGCTGGAAGGCTTGCTCTCCCTTCACAGCATGCTTGAAGTTAGTAACTATTTTGTCTTCTCACAGTCTTAATTTTTATGTCTGTTCTCCCTGTCTTGGAGTACAGCAGTATGGATTTCTGCAAAGACTGATTATTAACATAAATGCTTTTTTTCTAACATGAATATTTTCATGAGTTAATAGGCCACAGATTTATTTATCTATTTATTCGGTATAGGGCCTCACTACACAGCTCAGGCTTGTAGCAATCCTCCTGCCTCAGTGGTTCCCAAATAAACACTTGGAAAGAAATAGTCTCAGTAGGTAAAGTTAGCTCCACCATTCAGCCCAGGCTAAGTGGGAGAGAGCTTGGGTCCAGTCACAGAAAATTCTGGGGATTCTGTGAGGGGAGCTCCCAACCAGGGCACATGCATTCGGTTGGGAGCGGCATGCTAGGTGCTTTGAAAGGGTTCTGCTCATAGCCGTCACTGATGGTAGCACGACACCGTGGAAAACGAACTCGGTTTTGTTGCTCTTGACTGTCAAAGGAGTCAGTAAATCACATTTTCTTTAACACTGTTATTATAAGTCAGTTTTTTTTTTTTTTTTTTACTCTGAACCCAAGTGAAAAGTAAAATTGTTCTGTGGTTTATGGAGGGAACTGGTTCCAGGGTACTGTTATCTATGAATATAAAAATTCCTTACATGAAATATAATCTCTGCGTGTAACCTATGTACATCCTCCTATAGATTTCAAGTCATCTCTAGTTAAATATAAAACCTAATGCAATGAAAATGCTGTGTAAACAGTTGTGTGGAATTGTTTAGAAAAAAATCTGTACATGTGCTATACATAGTTATTTGAAAAAATATTTTCTATTCCTGCTTAATTAAATCTGTGGATGAGGAACTTGAAAATGTGGAAGGCCCGCTGTACACAAGCTATTGTGGATGAAGTTCTTGTGTCACACAGAGCAAGTGCTTTGGCTCATGACACATAATCATTACTCCTTGAACTTTAGGGAAACTCTATGTTCCCAAAATGTACACAAATATATCTGGAAGCCAGGTGTTCTTTAATTCAAGAAATATAATTTTAAGAACTACTTTTGAGACAACTACTTTTAAGGACTACTTTTGACTTAACTTGGAGTTTGAACAGGAAATAATTCAGGTCACGGATTGTCATATTTTGTTACTGCGCATCCAGCTTTTAGCTATCTCAAGGGATCTATCTATAAAAATTCGGCAAACAACACTAATTCTAATTATTTTAAGGACAATTATAGAGTACCAGGACCTACTAGGAGCACTGCACGAGTTCAGTCAGATGCACGAGCTTCTAGGCAGCCCCAGGAAGTGAGAACCGTTGGAATTCCAATTTTACAGAAGAGCAAACGAAGGCAGAGGGAGATCAGAGAACTTAGGCAACGCCCTACAGCTAAGAACGGAAGCCACAGGGCAGGAAGCCAGCCCGTCTGTCCCCGGCGAGTGTGCTGCTTTCAGTGACGTCCGTCCGTGCAGTGAGGTGTCCTCGGTGTGTGGCTCCTGCTCTCCGTGGACACAAGGGCAGCACCTGCTGGCTGTCTTCACGCTGGTGCTTCCTGCCACCTTGTTCCCGGCAGCTGCCAGGACGTAGGAACTTCGCGGATTATCGCACCCCTTTGGCATCCTTGTTCCTTTTTAACATGTAACACTTTTATTGAGATATAAATCACATAGCATACAACACACTCATTTAAAGTGTACAGTTCAATGGCTTTTAATTTATTCACAGAGCGTATAACCATGGTCATCTCACTCCCCACACCCCGATAGCTCCTCCCACCAACTCCTGATAAGCACTCTTCTGTTTGCCGTCTCTGTGGATTTTCCTATTACGATATTCCTATTAAATGAAATTATACATGTACATGACTTTTCGTGTCTGGCTTTTTTTTTTTTTTAACTTAGCAGGATGTTTTCACGCTCCATCCCTAACTTTAGAGCATGCATTAGGATTTCGCTTCTTTTTCTTGTTGAGTAATAGTCTGTTGTCTGGCATTACTTTTTATTTATTGTTAATCATGTGATAGAAGGTTTCTGCTTTTGATTGGTAAGAATAACACTGCTATGAATGCTTCAAGTTTTTGTGTGGGCATGTTTGCATTTCTCAGATATACGCTAAGAAGTAGAATTTCTGTGTCTGTCTTTTACCTTTCTGAGGAATTACTAGACTGTTTTCTTATTTGCTTATTGCTAGTAAGAAGTTCTCAGCTGTTTTTGCAAAAGTGATTTTTCTTCCCTGTGGATACCACCACATTTTGTTTATCCATTAATCATGTGATACAATGGATTGACATGGCAAAGGAAGATAGCAGATGCGCCTTGAACAAAACGCAACATCTGTTTGGCTATAAATAGCTATTTCCACTAACAGAAACCAAATGGAAATTAGGGAACCTTATGTAACCCCCTCATCCTTTTTTTTTTTTTGGTGTGCCTGCTAAGCCTGCCCTGGGGGTGGAGCTGGTGTAGCATGTGGTGCTAGGGATTGAACTGTGATCCCTGTAGTTGCCTAAGCTTGCCTTAGCAGGTGCTTTAGATCACTGAGCTATCCTGCCAGACCCCTCACTCCTTAATAGTAAGTCTTTTTAATGACTGTATGAAAATATTTAATAAATAGAAACAATGATAATTACTTTTGTTAAAAGCGGCCAATGTTCTATGCAGTTTATGAAGAACACATATACTTCATCATTCAATTTTAGAGCCCCAACAATGTTTTCTGATCATTATATTCTGAGGGCAAGATCTAAAAAGTTATGAGAAAGACAGCCATAATTTCATCTGTACTGATACTAGGCAGGGGAGAAAAAATGTTATCTTACAGTAAAAAAATTAAAATTAAAAAGTGAACTCCCTCCCCGCCCAAAAAAGTGAACTCCCTTATATAAAAAACTATTCAGAAGAACTCTAGATGGGTGAAAGACAGCTCCACTGAGGGTGTTGGTAGGAAGCAGGAGTGCTCTCTGTCCGTATTTCTTTTGAGCCTGTGCACACGTACTACCTTAGAATTTACATTTCCTACAGATACACAGACTTTGTTGCCAAATAAAGTATTAGAGAGGTTGATAAATATTAACAGAAAAGAGAAATGAACTATTCTAATATAACATTTTTATTGCCTTTTGTTAAAATATTTTCCTGCTGCAAAGTGTCAGTCTATTGTGAGGTATGAAATTCATTTGAAAGTTTGCCTCACATAATCTGTGTCAGAGACACCTGAGTCGACACAGAGTCAAGTAAAATAAAAAACAAATCTTGTGTCTTTTTTTGTGGTATGGTATAGTAATTATCGGTATATTTATATTCATCATAATTACTGATGGCCAAAAAGTCAATGTCTACAGAGGTTAGTCATAATTTGTATGGTATTGGTGTAGCCTAATAAAATAATTATCTGTTAGGGAATTTTTCTACCTGGGAATGAAAAACTCAACTTATCAACTTGCCTTAGAGTATATTAGAGAAGAAAAAACTGAGTGTCTAACTGTGAAATACATTAGGTTGATTCGCATTTTGTGTACAGTTGGCTTAATTTCTCATTAGGATTAAAATTCTGAGTGCACAACTATGAAAAATGTGGAAACATGACTGCTTTAGGGAACTCTAAGTTGCACGTAGAACTGAAGGCCCCGGGAAGAGTCTTAGTCTCCATACGCTTCAGTCCTTATAATCCGGTATCAGCCGCCTGCGGTCGCCTTTCTTTCTTGGAGAACACGAGCCCTTTCTGCTTAGCAGCCAATCCAGGAGCTGGACTTCACCACACTGACCACGTCCTCCTTTTCAATGTCATACTTGTATGTTTTTGGTCCTGAAAAGAAGTAAATGTAGCCTAAAAGACACAAAGTTGGATTATTAGCAATGACCTGCGGATGTGTAACCAGAGGATTTATGTTACAGATTTTCTGAGGAACTGGGAACTTGGCGGGTGGCAGTTCGCTGGCCTTCCACATTGCTCCGGCGTGCCCGGGGAAGTCTGCAGTCCCTTTCCTTGTTCTCTTTTGTTTCAGCCAGACCAAGGTCTTCAACTCTGGCAAGCCAACCTCAGGACTCAAAGCCAGATGCCTCAGCAGGCAGCCTTAAGGGCTGCTGCAGGCTCCTCAGGCCACCTCTCCCCATTCTCAGGACTCGTCCTGGACAGCTCTGCAGTCAGTTAGCTTAACTATACTTTGTCTTGTTTTCCACTCATTTCGCCTGTTGTGGGCGGCCGCCCTTTTCCCAGAGACGTTGCCCATCCCAAGAGAGCAGAAGCCATCTCTGGAGCTGGCGTGGCATTTCTGAGCAGTGTTCAGCTTTGAGCTCCACACTCAGGAAGAGCACGCTGACTGGCTCATTCTAAAGATTCAATGACATTTATTCAACTCAGTTCAGTTTTACTCTCCTAGCTATGTGTTTTCTAAAATTTTATTTTATTTTTAAAAATGTATTTGGTTGTTGCAGGGTCTCACTACACAGTTTGGACTCATAATGATCCTTCTGTTTTCAGCCTCCCCAGGGCGGAGAGTATAGGTGGGCACCACTGTGCCAGAACTCTGGCTGGCTCAGCGCGCTCTGGGGGGTGGGGCTGGCATGGCATGTGGTGCCAGGTATCAAACCACAGTCTCTGCACTTGCCTAAGCTTGGCTAAGCAGGCGCTTTAGTTGGCTGAGCTATTTCGCCGGCCCCATGTTAAGTTTTAGATGTTGGGTGATAGGGAAAAGACACTGGGAAGGCTGAGATGATGTCTTATTTTATTTTTCCCCTCCACCTCAAGACTTTTGAAGATGTAGCAGCTTATTTTTATTTTTATCTGTGTGGGCTTTATGATCTAGCTGACTAATGGAAGAAGACTGGACTGCTTTTCTTTTTTGGTCCTGGGGATTGAGCCAGAGCCTCTCCATTGGGCTAAACCCAGGATTTCTTGGTTTGTTTGTTTGTTTGTTTGTTTGTTTATTGAGATATGGTCTTGCTAAATTGACTAAGCTGGGCTCGGATTTGGCAGTCTTCCTGTCTCAGCTCCCAAGAATGCTAGGTTGACAGGCATGTACCACTATGCCCAGGTTATATTTTAAAAACTTTCTGCCAATAAAGAGAGGAACATTTGGCAGACCTTTTGTAATCCCTCTTTCTAGTGAATAATTCAGTTAGCTAAATTCGTAAAAGGATCCAGAACCCAAAATGAGGAGTGATGAGTCACACTTGGAAATACATTTGCTGTTGTGTCAAAGCAAAGCCCGGATTTCTTGTTAAAATTTCCACAAAGAAGGTTTTTTTTTAAAAAATATTTATTTATTTAAGTGTGTGTGTGTGTGTGTGTGTGTGTGTGTATGTGTGTGGCCAGCTCAGCCCACCAAGGGGCGGGCTGGCTGGTATGTGGTGCTGGGGGATTGAACCACGGTCCCTGTGCTTTGCTAAGCTTGTTCTAAGTAGGTGCTTTAGACCACTGAGCCATCTCACCAGCCCCAAGGAAGCTTTTCAGTGCAACACTCACCATTTAATTCCACGGCGGCGTCTACTTGGCCATGGACTCCTGAGAACTCTTCTTCAGTGCTCTTTGGGTAGTCTTTCTCCATCTTCCTTTTTCGTTCATCGAAGCTAGAAGATGTATCATTTTATAAATACCAGTAATGACAGGTTTTTGTTGTTTGTAGATGACAGTGTGCTAGTTAGATATATTTATCTAGGTCAGATTATGACTTACTCTAACTTATTGAAAAGTATTTTTTAAATTGTTTCGACTTTAAAATATTAATACTTCATTTCAAACAAATGTTGATCCACATCTGCACAGCTACCTCTTAGAGTCGTGAAGTAAGGCAAGCCTTTCATACCTGTGGCGTTGCGTGTTAATAAGACTGACAGCCTTGTTCGGAGAGTTTGTTTGCAATTGTCCTCTGGCACGCTTTGGCCTGTGACTGAAAGCGCCAGTATCACTCTCTTCCTTTCCCCTCTGGGAAGGATTTTGAATTACACTGATACCTTTCTAGGCTACGTGTAAAAAATCAGTTTCCATCTCAGGTTTAGGTGATACGCATTGCGCATTGCGATGAGAATGAGCCTGGAGTCAATGTATCAGCTCACTTTTTTGTTTTTCCTGTCATTTTGCATAGCTTCACATGTTTCAGTTTCTACATTCAACTACTTAGCACTGTGACTAGCCTAGTAATAATCCTTTTGGTCGGACATTCTTATGAAATTCAACAATGCCAAAGCCATGTTTCACCAACAATAGCAGAAATAAGATGTGACTTGCTTTAGACACTTGATCTTAGCCAAAAGGCCAAGAAGCAATGTAACTTGCTTTAGTTATGAAGCATTTGCTTTAAAAACTGGTAGTCATATCCCCTAATATTAATTAATGCTTATATATGATAGAAGAGAAATAATGCCTGTTTTTGTTTTTCTTTTTTCCTGTTCAGGAACACATGAGAAAACAAACCAGAACATATTTAAAATGGCAAGCTGACCTATTTATAGGCTGTTCTCATCAGCTCTTTGCAGGTCTACAACACAGACATTCAGAATCCATGCTTTAGTGGAGCCCCTCCCGGGCGTGTCTGGCCACGGGTCCTGAGCACAGATTCTGTGGTCACAGGGCAGAAGGCACGGGGCTCTTCAGAGGAAGAGAGTGGAGCTGAGCAGGTGCAGCTGAGGCGCTCTTCAGAAGGGTTCCAGTTCCGCTTCACCATGGAGGGATTTTGTAAATGCAGACCCCTGATGAACAAGCCTAATTAATAATGCAGATTAGTTCCTAAATTTCTTCACAGTGGAGATCAGCTTAAATACACGAGAATCGTCCTGTCTGTTTCTCTTCTGACACAGTTTTGGAATCCATCTGTGAGCTCAATCCACTCCTTTCCAATGTCTGTCATTGTGAATCCTTTGGGTATGTGAGGCCTTTGATTCACGGTTTGCGACACAAATACCCTGATGCATCATTTATTTGTTATTAAGTGTTTGATTATTATGCTTTTAAAAATTCAGTATCTTTAAACCAAGTTTTTAATAATGTGTTGCTTAGAGCAGTTCAGAGCATTTTTTTTCTCTTCCTGTTCTTCCTCCCCCTCCCACCCCAATCTCTTTTTGTTCTGAAAGCAGTGCTCCTAGGGTTGTAACTTACACTCTTTTTGCATGCAACACTTCGATGAGGTTATTATAGGGGACATCTCCATTCAGGTGCTTGCAGTAGAGGTGTTCTTCAGCCTGAATGCTAATTGCCCAGATTTCTGGTAGTCCAAATAGTAGCTGCCCGAATTTCTCTGCTTGCTGTGGGTAGTTGCAAAGTATGTAGTTCAGCAGATTGAGTTGACTTGTTCCTGGACACCTTCAACAAGCTGGAAGTTCTTGAGGTTTTTGACATCTAAACTAAAGAACACCAATAACTTTAGACACACAAACTCTTACTGATCAAGCCGCTGGGATCGAATCTTTGCCACTAGCTCCTGTGTATGACATAGGAGGTTGCCGAGGGTGGTGCCAGCTTGGGATGCTATTATAGAACACTCCACTTGTTGCCCAGTAACCAGGAAGATGTGCCCTTCCTTCCCAGGCACCACTTGTCAGTCAATGTGGTTGAGGGTGTAAGAGCTCACGCCAGCAGTTGTGAAGCAGCTTCATTTGGCCATCAACCTTCAGTTCCTGGAAGAAGCTGCTGCTCCTTGCCCACTCGACGACGGAGAAGAGGGTTTGGTTTGCCATTTTGCATGTGAGCCTGAGCGAGTTTAGCTTTTCCTGCTTGCTCTGGTTAGCCTGCTCCTGCTGCAGGGAGGCCGAGACTTTGGCTTGCGCCTAAGGCTCGTCTGGTTCATACTTTAAAAGGTCCAGTATCAGGGGTGGGATGCTTGCTGGAGAGCCAGCCTGGTAACCATCCATGTAGGAATAGGTCATGATGGACTCAGACAAGCCGGTGTAGGCGTCCTGGTACTCAGACTTGATGGCCCTGCTAGGAAAATGGCCATACATCTGGTAACCTTGCAGGCTGCTGTGAGGTGGCGTTGTCATGCTAATAGGAGACATGACAGAAAGGCATCTGTTGCAGTCTGTGGGCGTCAAGGCAGTAAGGTTCAGAGGTAGGCCTTTGGAGGCTGGGTAGATATTCTGAATTGCAGACGAGATGGTCAGGTCAGAGGGTATTGCTTGGATCATCCGGGACACAGCTCCTAGCTTAAGTCATTGGCTTGGATGAGGGCTTTTTTCTGTTGCCTCAGAGACCCGTCTCTCTTATACATTGGCCCAAACTTATTCCTTCCTGAACGCATTCGGTCTGCCCTTACCAAGTGCATGTTCTCCGGCATCTGCCCCTGTTCCCCATGCGATTGAGCCAGTCCCAGGGCTTCTGTCTCCACTTTGGGCAGCATGACCAGGCAGCTGCAGGCGGGAATGCAGGGGTCAGCGTAGGTCGGGAAGCCCAGCACCTGGGAAGTCTGGTTGGCCCGGTGCCCTTCACCCTCCCGCTGTGGATCTGACGTTCAGATTTGCATTGCAGGAGCGGCCTCTTTCCTGAAATGATGAACTGAGTAGCAGACAAACTTTCCCATGCGCCTGTGTAGATGAAGCCTCACGTGATGCATCCAGCCTTGCAAGCAGTTTGCAGACCTTTATCCTTTAAGTCCTTTCTAACCTTTCCTCCATATTGGAATTTAAAAAATCATTTATTTATTTGGTACAGGGTCGCACTACACACCTGTGACTTGTAGTAATCCTCTTCTCTCAGCCTCCCCAGCACTGGGATTACAGGTATGCGCCACCACGCCTGGTTACAGTGGCCAGGACGGCATGTGACACTGTAGGTCGAACCCGGGTCCTTGCACTTGTCAGGCAGGTGCTTAGACCACAGAGCTATCTCCCAGCCTATGACTTATTTTAGATGTCTGTCTATCTGTCTGTCTGTACACACACATGAACAACACACACTTCTCTATGAATTTCTTACCTAACTAAACAAAGCCTTTAGGGACTTTTTATTCACGGGGCTAGTGCTGCACGAATAAAGATGGAGAAAGGATTGATGAAGTAATATATTTAGAATGAATACATGAACGTGAGAATAATCAGTAAATAAGAATCAGGACAACCTGCAGTAACTGAGTCTGTGCCCTTGAACTTAATGCAACTGAATCCCACTGCTTTTGCTTCCTGAAAGATTACCTGACTGATCAAGCGGTCTTGACTCTTTGGGAAGACTTCATTTAATGCATATGAAAGTCCCTTCTCTATCAGCACAGAGTTCCACATGGGGACACTCCCAGCCTTACTCCTTTTTCACCCAAAGGTCAGACAAATTTTTCCTGGGCCACTGGGTGGTTTCCTGTGGCCACAGGCCCCACCCACCACCTCCTGAAATGTCCCTCATGTGGCTGTGATTATATAGGCAAGAAGACACAAACTTCATGACATTCAACAGGAACTTGAGCACTGAGTGTTCAGTCCGAAACTGACTAGGGCTTTGTCTTTTTTTTTTTTTTTTTTTTTTTGAACCTTTTTTTTTTGCGGAACCTGGGATTGAACTCAGGCCCTTGTGCTTCTTCTACTGAGCCATCTCCCTGGCCCCGCGTTTTATTTTTGAGCTGCTTTTTAGAGTGTTAGAAGTAGGAATGGAAATTAAGTCTCCAACAGTACAATATAGTTGCTATACTAGGTTAATATATCACTTAAATCTTTAATGTAGACAGTAAGGATGCAGGGACCTTCATACCTGACTCAAGATTACCTACTCTTCAGTTTATCAAACAAGAACATTGCTCAAACTACCAAAAACTATCACCACCTGTCTTCACTATCATTTCACAAAGAAAATAGACTTTATCATCAAAAAAGACAGAAAGGACATAAACTCACAATACATGACAGTTCTTGCCAACTCCCTGACTCTGTGCTCACACAGAATGTGTGTACTTTCTGTTCTTATTTCTCCATGACCTGGTGAAAACTTTGTGAGTCCAAGTGGGCAGAGATGTGGAGATTTCTGCAGAGGGCAACAGGCACGGCACATCTTCTTCAGATGGCTTGGGCCTGAGCTTCTGACTTGCTATTGGTTGGTTCTACGATCAGCAAATCCGATCTGAATTTTGAGCCCTGGTTACCTCATCAGGAAAGTAGCACCATGAGGCCAGTTTGTGGTCACACACACACCATGTGCCTGGCTCGTGTGGCACTAGGACAGGCCCCACCATATGGTTTATTTTATCCCCAAGAACTATTAGCTCTGGTTTGGTGAGGCTGAATGGACTTTGAGATTTGAGCTGGGATCTAAGTCAACAGAGGGTTTAGTCTTTAACTTTTCTTTGTTTTAGACACATATTTTTAATCTTTCAACACACTTTATCAGATAACATTTTGCAGTGCTGGACACCAAGGTGAGAGGAAGTAGAAAAGGGAGGTGATCCAGAAGGCAGGGGAGGAGAGGCACTGGTGTTGAGGATTTTGCAAGATGATAAAAGAAATTACATGGCAGATAAGAACAGTGGGCATTTTGACTCACAAGAAGTAGATGCTGAAGAGAATGGAAGGATGAATATACATGGTCAGTAGGAAGGGCCTGTACACTTAGGTCAAAGGACAGGAAACATGGCTTCATTTGGTCCATTGCTTAGTTT